ACAGACACACACACAGAGAGACACACAGAGAGACAGACAGGAGTCTCCGGCTTCACGCACACCGGGATTTATTCACGCAGAGATTCCGGAGCATCAGTCGGATCCCGCACCGTGTGAACCGGTAAGAGGACCTCCGCTCTGTGCCGTGATTCCCGGGTTGGGTTGTATTGTGGCTGCGCTCGGTTCACCGGGAGACTGCTGCCCGTTAACCACCGGCACCGAGCCCGCAGTGTGTCACTACCCCGGGAATGAATGGAGGGATGGATGGAGGGATGGAGGGAAGGAGGGGTGGAGGGAGGGATGAGGGTTTTATCGCGCGGAGGCTGCGCGTGCGTCCACCTTTTGTTCAACAGTTTAAAGTGTCCTCGTGCATCAAACTGAAGAGATCACGAGACATTTCCAGAAAACCAGAGTGAGGAGCTTTAAAGTGTGTGCAGCCTCGTGAGAGCTGATTGATTACAGCTGATCAATCAGAGTGTGTGTGTGTGTGTGAGATTGATGAAGATGATGAAGATGATGTTTGGAGTCACCTTGACATCAGCTCCACACAGAGGTTGTTGTACAGCTCTTAATCACAGTCTGATATTAATGACCAATCTATAATCTATAATACTTATTGAAGTACATAAATCTGTTTGGTTCAATTAAACAAAACTTTATTTATCTTCATAATAAAGCTCAGCAGCAGAACTTTAAATATACAAACATTAATTCTGTAGGAAATATTTAATTTGACATTACATTACATTTAAACAAACTGAGTTCAACTTAATAAATGAGTCATTTTGTTGAATCGGAGCCATTTTTATTGTAACTTAAACTATTTAAAACATATAATATATACAATATACAATCTCAGCCTTTTATTTATCTTCATTTATCTTTATTTGTCTTTATTTATTATAAATGGAGGATTTAGATTGGAACAGGAGTCCGTTATCTCACTGCTCACCTGCCAGAGAAAAAGATCTTTATTTTACATTTTCATCCGTTTTGCAGTTTCCGCGGTAACACCTGAGGTCCTTCCTAATACCTGGAATCATCTCCATCCCATAATATTCTAATGGAAACGTTCAGTAAATAGGACGAACCGGAGATACTAGTTCTAGTTTCCTCCTCAGAGAGATAAAAACCAGAATAATAATTTAGGAAACTGGAGATTAATATTCTTATAATATAAAGAGAGAAATTACTGATGCTACTTATTGATCTGATTGATCATGTGACCGGTGAAATATCCCAATATTTCAAGAGGAGAAAGTGTGTCAGTACAAAGACCTGGAGGCTAAACGTGTATTTTAACTCACATGTTATGCATTTGTGATGTATTTTATGTCCTAAAGTCTCAAAATAATTCAAAAAAATAAGACTTCTGAAGGATTATAATCATTATATTATATAATGAAGTGTTGGAGAGTATTTGATCAGAGTTATAGATTGTTTTAATGAAGGTTGTACATTAAATATCTGTGATTAGAACATAAAATATAATATAGAGGCAGTTTTAATACATGTTAATGGATATAATATATGAAGAGGAAAGGCTTAAATATAGAAGAAGAGACTTTCATATTATATATATTGTGTTACAGTTCAGTGTGTCGTAGTTTCGGTTCGGTTTAGTGCCGTATCCCAACCGATGTATGACCCGAATGAGGCGTCCACATTATCTGAGTTTCTGGACATAATTTTCTCATCTCCCCTCCTCATTTCCCATCTCGTTTGTGCAATGCATTGTGGGAGGAAACACTGATGATCTTACTGACTGAAAACCTGCTTGGATTCAGTCTCTAAGTGTTTGTTTACGTCTCAGATATTGTTTGTGTGTCTCAGATAAACCTCAGAGACAAACCGGAGACGCCACAAACAGAAATAATATCACAGATAAATATCAGCCGCAGTGTGACGATGAGGACGACGATGAGGACGACGATGAGGATGATGATGCAGACGTTTAGAGCTGCTGCTGTGTGCTGATCACAAACACAATAACATGGTAACAGGTCACCTGGGCGACGGACGGCAGAGACAAACACTTCCTGCAGAGGACGAAGCCTCCAGAGCTTTAATTTAAATCACAACAATATAAAATAAGTGATAATAATACATCACAATCTGCTGTAAGAATAATAAATAAACTTCATTGTGATTGTCACTGCACAGAGTTCAGATTTTGTCCTTTTAAGAATAAACATAATTATATTTAAGAAGTTAAATAAAAAGACAAAAATCACACATTTGAGTCGAGTCAGTTGAACCGGTTTCTGATTGTCTGCCGTCCGCAGAGTCTTACTGAGAAACATTTAAAGTCCACATGAAACAGAAATCAATCGTAAAGCAGCTGTAGTGGATCTGTTAGCGGACTCTGTCGGACTGAACAACCTCTAATGTTGACTGAGGACAGTTTTACGACAGGAAATAAAGTACTGAGGTTGTATTTACTCGATTTGGCTCCTGCCGCTCCCATGTTGACTGCACAAGCTAACTAGCTAACAGCAGCTAACATTAACATTAGCGACAGTTAGCTTCTTTTAGCAACAAGTTCATCTGGAAACTAAAAAAAATATTCTCTCCATAAAATATGATCCAGTTTCACTAAATCACTGATAAAGTTGTGTGATTGTACAGTAATCAGTGAGCTAACTAATGAATCTTCGCTCTGTGTGGCTAAAAGTTGCAGATTGATTGACGGGTGGATGTTTGATATTATTGGTTGAAATCAGTTAGTAGTAAGCACTTTTTACATTTAGTTTAAGATAAAATGATTGATAATTGATATAAAAACACAAAGAAATCTCACCAGCTATGTATGTTTCTACGTTTGCTCCCTTGTTTTAAAACACAACCAGACGTCCATGTAATCGATCAATAACATCACAGCTCATGTGTGACATCACAGATCATAAACAGACGTCGTCAATAAACAGCTCTGTAGTCTGCAGGCTGTTACATCATGAACTCGATATCAGCTGTGGACTCACTGCAGCACAATCTGACACCACTCCGCCCGCCGCCGGCCGGCTGGTGGGGTCGCGCGAGGTCGGTCTGGTTCGCCGGTCCTCGCCGAGCGCGGCCGAGGGGGGATTACAGCGGCAACGCAACCCGTCACGTTCCCTGCGGGCCTGTGGGTTGTTAGGGAGAACGAGGCTGATGAGTTCTCACAGGAGAAGGAGACAAAACAACCTCCTCCTGTTGTCATTATGTTTCTCATTACAGCGTGAGGAAAAAAGCGGCTTCCATAATGCGATTATCCGTCGTCCTCGTGGCTTCTGCAGATTCTGCCGCCTCACATGCGGTAATTGACCCCACGCCGCAGCGCTCAATGGGGACTGCTGTCGCTAATTGCGGTGGTATTTTGAGATACAGTGGGAGCATTAGGCGACTGGAGGAGTTTATTCACGAGAGACGACTCCACGGTGTGTGTGAGTGTGTCTGGTTTACATGACAGTGTGGGGAGTTTTATCTGACACTCCGTCCACCATCCATCACCTTCTGGGGACCAAAAGCCCACAGAGCAAAATACAGTTAATATTACAGTTTGAATGTGGTCTCAGACAACTGTAGGGGGGAAAATACCTTTGAGATGAATATATAACTTAAAAACAACAAATTACCTAAAATTAACACAGAAGTCAGAAACCTTTTTAGCCAAAAAAAAGTCTTAAAACATAATTATTTTTTCCCAGCAGATCATAAGGCAGCAGCAAAGTTAATCCGTCCATGCACTATTAAATTCTTTATCTTCCTCCTTGTTTTGGATTTTGGATCAATTTAAGTTGACAAAATGTATTTGTTGTTGTTGAGTAATGTGCATTATTTAAAGCTGTGAATGCTCATTTGCTCATCTCAAAACTTGGAAAAACTAAACTTAATTTAGTGTTTAAGGTGAGTCGTCCCTTCAAGGTGAGGTGTTTAAGGTCAGGATGGAGGGGGGAGGGTTAGTCCTCTCAAGGGTAGTAAATTGAGCGTTTGTGTGTGTGAGAGTCACCAGCTGTGTATTGATCCGGAGAGGCAGCATTTAGACTGACTGTTGGCTCTCAACCCAATTTCTCTCTCGCTCCCTCCACACAGCTGTTTTTCCTTCTCTGTCTTATAAATTACAACCAGCTCAGTGTGAAACTGTTCGGAAACACACACACACACACACACACACACACACACATGTGTTTGTGCCAGAGGAGGAAGTACTCCGATCATTTACTGCAGTAAAAGTATTAATACGTCACTGAAAGGTTCCTTATGTGAGATTCTGAAGCATTTTATTCGTATGTATTGATCAGTGTATTGATCAGTGAACGGGTTGTATCTTGGCTGCG